ATGTAGGGTTTGTTTTGTTTTTCAGAGGTGGTTCTCAACACTGGAGAAGTGTCTCGCGGTCAGAATATGGGGAAGTTGAAAGTATTGTACTTACAAGTTCTTGAATTTCCAAAGCTTTCTGTCAGGACTCAGAGGAAATTTTTCTGTATAGCAGATACAGCATAATTGTTGGAGACTTAGCTGCAAATAAGTATGATGGTGGAATATGAGAACTCCAGTGAGTTTGGGGTCCTTTTTTACCTAGGGCCTGGCCTCTTGGCCACAGTTCACACCCATGGGGGCTCATGCTTTCACCGGGAGCCCGGCGTCTTCCCTTCCTTCATTATTACAGGCCGAGACAAGAAAATGCACATGTTCCATGACCAAATCCATTACTCACTGTTGCATTTGGATGTTTATCATGAACTAAAGGCAGACATTTCATTTCTAACACATTCCAGAAGCAGTTCCCTTTTGAGGGAAGAGCAGATAACCTACTTAACTGTCATCTTAGGAATAGAAGGAGACAAGCACTCTTTTCATGTTTATGTATTTTGCCTGGTGTTGACATGTGTGGTCCTGTGCTCATGGCCCAGCGCCTGTCTTATAATAGACCACAACTAGCCTGAAGATAGTCTGAACCAGACTTTAAAACATCCTTCCCTATTTTCCTTGCTTCTTTTTAACTTCCTGCCCTCCTATCTTTGAGGCTGTGGGATAGCTGAGTTAGTTCTCCCGGGGCGCAGGGCCCAGCAGCCTGTGTCCTAAGGGACTCACTACAAACCAGAGAGCTCTGTGGTGTGTGTGTGTGTGTGTGTGTGTGTGTGTGTGTGTGTGTGTGTGTGTGTAAGGAATTGTTCAGTTTTGCCATTTCCCCCTCTGCTGATTCTTTCATACAATTTCACTACAGACTTTAACTCACATCAGAATGTCATAGTGCCTTAGTACAAGTATTGGAGAGCACCAACTCATGACTTGGGGATTTTGAGTTTTTCATAGAAAGGTATCAGATATTCATAGTTCTTTTTACTCTCTAATTCCACTTGAGAAGAAAACAGAGAAATACTGACAAAAAGTCTTAGGTACATTATAACGTAATACCAGAACATTATTTATAACTGTGAGGAAGAGAAAATGGGCTAAAGATTTGTTGAATTTTCCCAAATGAATCAAGAGTCATGTTTTTAAAGAAAATTTAATGGCCTGGATAAATGCTCATGAAGCAATAAGTGAAAAGAGCCTCACATAAAAATTAGGAAGTATTACTCTCATTTTATCAATGCACAATATACTTTACAGAATTGTATTCCTCTACAAACGTATGTATATGTTTATACGTACATTTATATGTAGCATATAAGCTTATAAATTATACATATATTTAAGTATATATACACATACCTTTCTATGCATATATGGAAATAAGATAACAAATGCTGAAATATTAACAATTTTTCTGGTTGGTAGGATAATTAGGGGTTTTTATTTTTTTATCGGTTGCTTTTCCTCCAACTTTTTTACAATAAGTAGGAGAATGGGAGCATTTTAAATTGACACTCTCAGGTGAATTACTCTATTAAAAACTCAGATAAAAAGCCTGCTGGTGGGGATAGTTAGACATGTTTTGAATGAATATATTCTTTTTAGGTATAATCACTCAGGCTTCTGTTACAGTTTGGGTGTGTCTTGCACATTTAATTCTGCTTTCTGCTTTTCTGGATTGTGCTCTTCAGGCCACAGAGGACTAGAGTCCAGGAGCCGGGACCACGCGTGCCCAGCCATACCACGTTCCTCTGAGGGCGTGGCCACGTGGCACTTTTTCCATCTAGGTCTTGTCTAGTGATCTAAACGTGTGCTTCTCAGCAGAGGTGGTTCCTGATTGCAGTGAGCATCTGCCTGAGGTCCCTGGACCAGATGCTTTGAGGGGTTGAAAGTAGAGTTCAGACTGAATACACTTGACTGAATTTTGAAATGGCCCAAAGCAGTTTCCAGGCATGTGGAATAGTAGGGTTTTGAAAACCAAAAGTCTTCTTTTAAATTTTCAAAATGGACTTTCAGAAATTGGGAGAGGTGAAGAAATAAACCAATGAGAGAAAACTGGGTTTTGAGTTTACCCACCCCCTTCATGTAGGGTCTTCTTGGCCTCTTGTGGGGCTTCGGCCTGTGTTCACTTCACCTTACCTGAGCCACCTGCAGCTCACAAAAGAAAGGCAAATACATTACATACAGGTCCTACTTCCTGCTTCTAGGAATTCATGGAAGCTGAGGGAGCCAAGCAGTAGCCTGAAGCTTTATCCTACTGAATAGTAGTCATTTTTGGTTGGAGAGTAATGAAGGAATTAACACATTTGTGCCTAATCTGATTGAGGACAAAATAATACAAGATTGTTGAGTAATTGTAAAGTTTTGAATAGAGAACTTTGCTTTAGACAGCAATACAAGGAACTAGTATACTTTTCAGCATAAAATAAATACCTCCAAGGCACAAGGGTTGCTAGTTTACTGTTAACCCCCACCTGTGAGGCCTTCTCTTTGCAGGTTGGTGTTCTCATATCATCTGTTCTGCCATAGGAACCTGATCTTTCATTCCCATGTTCTGTTTTCTTCTTAGAGACTTCTGGGATGAAGACCTCACCTAAACTCACTTTCCACTGATTTGGCTCTTTTGATTTTTGACAGTTTACTGAAAGGCTGTACAACTTGGGAGACCTTTTCCACAAACACATTGAAAAAGCAATTATTTGGAGGCTGAAAAAATATGTGTTATTATAAATCTTTGTTGCTGGGAAGAAGTGCCACCAGGTCTCTCTCTTGGTAGATGGTCATTCCCTTCTGTATCCCTTGAACATGAGCCACACGTAAACCTACTTGGCAGCGTCAAGCTCTGCTCCGGCAGAATTACGGAGTTCAGGCCTGGAGCACTGGGGTGACTGGTGGTGGCTGGAGCACACGGACCTTGGGGGCCGAGAGGGCTCTGTGGGGCATTTCCTCATCCCTTTTGTCAAGTCTGAAGAAGTAAATCATCTCCCTCCCCCACTCCCTGTTAGAACTATAAATCCATTCTAATGTTTCTCTTTTAAGAATTATTAAATCCAGTAAAGAATTGGACTGTTTTCCAATGTTCTCTCTTAACTCTCTGATGAGCATTCTTGGAGTCTTGAAGATTTCATCACTGTGCCTCTCCTTGAGGACCTGCAGCCACCTCATCTGATGACATTCAGTTCGGTTTGTGTCTTGACACAGCTTACTATTGAGTGCATGTTTCTGGAAGCTTATGGTATTTCTTTGGAGGAAGGAGTCTTTTCTTTTTTTAAATTATAACTTCATCCATTTTGTAAGAAAATGGTCATGGACAAATGATTTTTTTTTTTTTTTAATTCCAAGTTGCATTTAGAACCGTCACTTTCTGCTCCACCTGTCAAACCAACCTAATGTTCATGGCTTTTGGGGTATTTGCACCTAATTATTCATATCATGGGGGAAGATAGTGCTCAGGGTGCTTTCCTTGGCCTCTGCAAACGAGTCTTCACAAGCCCTTCAGTTGGAAATAGCTACATTTAGGACTTCTTTGGCTTTTTAAGTTTTCTCATTTGTGACTTTTGTCATTATCTACCTATCACTGCTTCTTATCCCTTAATAGTCTCAGATCTCGGTACCCATTCTGCCACATCTGGGCTTTAATTTTGTTATTGCCATTATCTCTGAAAGTCCATCAGTCTAGAAGCCCCAGAATGTTGTCTCTGTCCTTTTAAAAAAAATGCCGGTTACCTCTGCTCATCAAAAATACCAATTTCTCTTTGAAATTCCAGATATTTTCCCACTTGGTTGTACCAGTTGACCTACACCTTTATACCCAGTACTCTGTTGGGGTCTCCAAAAACTAAGTGATCAATTCAGATGAGCTACTCTGATGGAGTGGCCTCATCTTCCAGTGAGTGGTCACCTCCAGATTGGAATTGTCTTCTGACTCTCTTCTTTTGCTCAAGCTCTTCTCTGAAATCTGCTGGTTAGTTGAAAGTTTACATAATAAACCTGGGGTAGGAGAGAAGGGAGCTAGGATGAGAATCCATCAAGGTCAATGACGCGCAGGTGCACGTCCCACCTGCAGCGCGGTCTGAGGATGGCGGGGAGTGGGTGCCTTACGCGCTGCTAAACTGGAAACTGCTTGAGGTGCCAGAGCTTTTTCTGTGACCAAATTCTGGCTTTGGAAATAATCAAGTAACACTTCTTTATCTTTTCGTTCTTTCCGCTTTTCCCACAGCCTGGTTCCTCAGAGGGAAAGAAGGAAAAGGAATGCTTTGCAACAAATGCCCTTAATGGCATTATGGTACTCTCATTGCTCTGCTGCTTCTGCCCGCCCTTCTTTTTTTCTTTGTTTTTGTTTTTTTATTTTTTGCAGAACTGAACCTTTTTCTGCTCTGCCTTTCTCTCCCATTTGTCTTTTCTTTATGGTTGATATTGTACTGTCTTTTCCAAAATATTTGTCATTAAAGAATTATACAAAGTGTATACTTTTTAGCATGTCACTACTTTTATTATGTTGCCTTCCTTGTCTTTGGTAACTACATACGGGACACTTGGAAACCTTCATGGTAAAATCCTTTTTTTTCTCCCCCTGTAGTCCCTCCATTTCAAGGACTAAAACAGTCTTGCGTTAAGTAAAAACCTGTGACCAGAACTGAAGGAAGACTCTAGGAACAGAAACCTACAGCAGGACTTAGCACAATTTATTTGGAAACAAAACAAAATTGCAAAAGCCTTAGCCGCTTTCCACCTAAGAAGTTTATTCAATGAAGACAATGTCCACTGGAGTTTAAAATAACTACATGAGTTTGGGCACAAGCAGTGACTTGAAGAAGGCCCAGCTCTCCTTTTATAGAAACGTCTCAAGTTTAACGACAAAAAAAGCTGTTGTAAATTTAGTCTCAGGTGTAAATATCAAACAAAGCCCTCTCTTGTCGGGAGAGTTGACCTGTCTGTGTGGTGCACGTGTGTCCCTGTGATGGCAATCATTTTAGCTGCTGGCCTTCAGAAGAAGTGAGGATCTGATGGAGGTTTTTTACGTATTTATTTTCTGTTCACCCTGTGTCAAAATTTATAAAGAGAAAACATGCATTACGGAAGTGGTACTTTCTGTAATTTGATACTATTTGGTTTAACCATCTTCACTTTAATACTTATAATATTGTTGTAATGGTAACTTTGTTAAGTACCCAAGCTGCTTGTCTTCCACCAAAGAGTGCTTTATTAACAAGAATCTGTGAAAACCGTGTTTGAAGACTGTTGGATGTTGTGATACAAAGTGGTACGTTGGCAGCCGAACTTGCAAGAGAACAGGAGTGGTAGCTTTGGAAGACTCGGAAGGGGATACTGGCTTCAGAGTTGGAAGATTGTTGTAAGTCATTCCTCTTTATGTCATTGAGGGACTGGAGAATGCCAAGGCTGCCCACAATTTGGCTGCCCAGTCATACAAATTAAAATCCTATTTCCTTCCACGCATGATTAAGAAAAACACTGTTGATGTTTTCTCTTGGAAACAGCCATCCCAAATAACGGCTTAAAAAGAATAGTACTGCTTTATTTGGGTCTTTCTCTGTAACATTGTGGATTTCTTTTTTTATGTGATCAGCCTAAGGCCATTCACACACACTTTGATTTCAGTGACAGTTACTCGCATCTGGATTTCAGTTGTTTGTAAATAAGAGTCTCACTGTTGCCTTTGGTTGGGGAATACAACTAACTCTTTTCAGAGTGCCTTCGCCCCTCCACCCTTCAGAAACACAGCAGAGTCTGTGATATAAAGCAATCACAAAAACAATTTATTTGCTGCTAAAACAAAAAAACGGGGGCCCAAAATGAAAGAATATTTTGCAGTCACCTTGGTTACCTCCATAATGAGAAGGGAATGGTTTTAGTTAATGTTCACCAATTTTTGCCTATCCTAGTATGGAGAGCAGGGGATATGATAAGGAAAGGCAATAGAAGGCAAACGCCTTCACCTTACAAGATGAATGAACCAGGCGAATGGGCAGTTTCATTTTAAAAAGCTACCTTCTTGACAAAACTATGATGAGGACTAAAGTGATTGGAATAAACAGATTTTAGTCTGTTAATGCAAAATTTACTGGAAGGCTGTGGCTCCATTTCAATATTTACCCTCTTGGAGTAAATTATAAGGTTGACTGGCTTTGAGGGGAGATGCCAGGTCACCAGTGTCTTGGTCAAACAGGCGGCTCTTCCTCATCAGGTGGTATGGGGATGTGTCGTGCCAGCTCTTAAACGCTGGGGACTAGATCTCAGAAAAAAAAGTGGTTTTCTATCTCTGGAAGTGAAAAGACACAAAGACCCACTTACCTGATGGAGAAGACCTCTCTTCACTAAGCTTTGGGTGGGAGAAGAAACATTCCATTAGCTGTCTTGTGCTAGGAGACAATAATAAATATTCAGACTGTGCCCTTGCATAAAACATTGAATTCTCAGGGCAATTCTTCTTCCCTTGACACCTTTAAAGGCCATCTCCTGCATAAATAATCCAGGTAGTTATAAAAATCAAACTTCCATCTGAACTTTATTACATCAGAACAAGTTAAATGTGCCATCTCCCTCCCAGTGAATAAGCCATTTGGTGTCTTGGCCAAGAGTGAAAACTCTGGGCTTCAGTGTTAACCACAGTACTTTTTATTTACAAATTGCCTTTTTGTGTCAGCTGCTCAAGTTTCCAGCTAGAATTGCTATCACTGTGGCTCTTTTTAAAAAATCTTGTTCTTTAATAGGCTCACTAAAGCGAGTCCTAGGAAACTGTGATTTGATACAGAAGCAGTCCTTGGAACACAGCAAGGACTTGGGGTGGTGCTCAGGTGGATTTCATAGCACACTATTATTAAACATACCAGGGGGCATTTCTAGAATCCAGGAAGTCTCTGGGTCTGACTGATGGAAAGTTCTTCCTGCTATGAGTAAGAGTGGACTCTTTCTTTTTCCCCCCAACGGAGACTTCAACACACCCAGAATCTCCTGAGATTCTAACTTCAAGTTCTTGTCATAGAAAGACCCTATCGCTATGGAATGAAATAGGGCACGTCAGATGGAGAGATTCCTTTAAACTTCAGAGCCTTAAATAGCTTTGAAAGTATACCAAGACAGTTTCCATTGAAATTAAAATTAGAAATACATTTTTTAAGGTGTCCTTGAAGCTTTTGGGGGACTCATGTCCAGAGTCCAGGATAGTCCAAAGGAAGGGTGTCTGCAAAACTGGGTACCTAGAAGTATAGACAGACTTGTTTTTTTGTAATGCTGAAGAAAAACTAGAAAACTCTCTGAGCTGTCCGTAAAGAGGGGTTAATCCTGAGCAGTGCCTCACTGAAACACGAATCCTGCCTTGTCCACATGGCCGCGTCTGGGCGGCACGCTGCTCTGCTAGTCTCCAGCATCTTTTCTGCTCTCTACCTGGCCCCGTTCGCCTGCCACCCACCTGATTTTTCTTCTCTGCCCTCCTCCCCTCTCACAGGGGTCATTCCTACCTCTTTTCTTGGGCCTAGACAATTTTTAGAGGAGTTCCCAAGTGTGCTCATGAGGCGACTATGTTTGCCCTTGGAATCTAATGGCCGGTTCTGCGTGCCCTGCGGACCATCAGGCCTTCTGGGTGGTGGTGTGCCAAGAGCTTCTGGAAGCTTCCCTTTGCTTGAATCACCGCCATTCATGACAAATGAGCAATGCGCTCTTTTGATGTTTGTTCTAAAAGTAGCTTAACTGTTCCTCTTCATACATTTTTAAAAATAATTATTGCATCCTGGAAAGCAGTGCTCATCAAAAACAACTTTAAAAGCATATTTTAATTTTTTAATAGTTCTCTCCCGCTAAAACTATCCTGGTAAGGCTAGCTGCTGCTCTTCCATTTCTCCTAAATCTGAGTATTCCTTGTGTTCCTAAGTGGAAATACTACAGATATATTTAAAAGACTGGACAATTCACCTATACTGTGTAGGAAATTACCTCCTTAACTGCCCAGTAGAATTAACTGTCAGCAGATACGTTCATATGATTATAGTACTGCAGTTTTATATTAATAATTTGCAGACTTTTATCTAACCTGCACTCAACTCATGTACAGATTATTAAAAAGTTTTAAAATGTAACTGATTAATCAGTATTTGATCAACCATTGTCTTGATTTTTTTATTAAAATGTATATTTCTAATCATATTTTATAAAGCCAAGAGAACTGGTTGAATGAATGTTTATTTTCCTGAAGGTATTTTTAAGATAAAGCTTCATAATGGCCTGTAAACTTTGCATATCTATGTAGTTTGATACATATTGTTGGGTTTGAAAATCTTGTGTATTGTAACTGGTTTTATACGAAATACTGAATAGTGAAAATTGTATAATCATAGCATTAAAAGTATTAACCAAACAGCCTTCCAGTTTATTGTATTCACTTACCATTCTGAATCATAGTAAACGGTGGTCAGAATATAAAGTGGATATAACCTTCTGTATTAGTTTGCTAGCCTGGGGGCTGAAACAACAGAAATCTTTTTCCTCCCAGGGCTGAGGCTGGAGACCCCAAGATCAAGGTGTTGGCAGGGTTGATTTCTGACGCCGCTGTCCTTGGGCTTTCTCTGTGCGCTCCAATCCCTGATGTCCTTCTGTTAGTCCTCCTTATGACACCAGTCAGAGTAGGGTCCATCCTAATGGCCTCATTTTAATTATCTCCTCAAAGGCCCTGTCTCCAAATACAGTTACATTCTGAGGTATTAGGCATTAGGGCTTCAGCTTAAAAATTTGGGGGTGGGGAGATACAGTTCAGTGCCTAACACCTTCCCCAAGATAAGATGCTGCATGAGTGAGGGCTTCTATTATGAAGTCATTCTGTACACACCCAACACCAGCTCAAATTATGCAGAGGTTTGACTGTGTGGAAATTACTGAGGATAAGACATATAAATCAGGCCCTCGGAGTCTTGTGGGTTGTAGACTGTACGACCCTCACGTTACCTGCCAGGGTCAGGAGTAAAGAGCTAAGTGAGGGGCAGGACCATCGCTAAGGCACCCACATTCTGATGTCCAGCCTTGGATGCCTGGACATCACAGTACTGCCTGCCTGCCTCCCCTCCTACCGTCTCTTGCTGGCCTGGATCCTGAAAACCTAATCCCCACACCATCACGCAGAGGTGTCTGGGATGTAGGAGCTTGCTCTGTTAGGAATGCTGGCCCATTCCTAAAGGAACTCAGCTCTGATTCATGCTTGGATGCCAGTTTTCAAAGCACAGACCACAGTGACCTCCCTTCCCCCATCCCCATCCAGACTCCTAGCAGACACTGCTACCCCCAGAGTCTGATTCACAAGCTCTGTCCCCTGTCGAAAGCTGCAGTGGCTACCTGTCTCTCCGTGGTTTGCCCTGAGGCCAACACTGGGTTGTGCGCCCTCTGCTGAGCAGCAAAATTCAGTTGATTGGCATCGTCCAAGCTGTCCAAAGTATGTTAAGTGCTGTAAAGGGTGTTGCATGGCAAGGGCCTAACACTTGGAAGACTCGAGGTGAAACCCCAAGTCCTGTCTTCCTGGGCTGTGCAGCGTGGGTGATGAGCCACAGAGACCCTGGTCCTGTAGATGCTCGCTCTCTGTTGTTGACAGTGCCGTTCGGTGCCCCTACCACACACACGATTTGCTAAATCCCTCTGCTTTTGTTTCTTAAGTAAAATGGGAAGGAAAGGCATTCCTATCTTAAGAGTTAGTGGGATAATTAAATGAGATCTTGCACAGCACCTAAAACCTGCTGGCACATAGCTTTCTTTTTTTTTTTTTTTTTTAATATTTTATTTATTTCTAGGAGAGAGACAGCGTGAGCAGGGGAGGGTCAGAGAGAGAGGGAGTCATAGACTGAAACAGGCTGCAGGCTCTGAGCTGGCAGTCAGCACAGAGCCCGACGCGGGGCTCGAACCCACGAACCGCGAGATCATGACCTAAGCGAAAGTCGGGCGCTTAACCGACTAAGCCACCCAGGCGCCCCATATAGCTTTCAATAAATTAATTTTTTCATACACTTAAGGTAATTTCCTGTAGATAATTAGGTAACGACTGATTGTGATGGATTATGATCCCTCCATATCTGGTAGTTTTGGGACCTACGGCATAATTTCATGAAAGTATAATGGTGTTGTAAAAGAGGTCAAACTGTTTTTACTTTGGAAGGGAGAAATTCATTCACTGAAGGTAAATCTCTTGAGAGTGGTTTAGTTAGGTGGAGGTGGAGTTAAGTAGAAAGGCCCCTTCATGAGGCCTGGGAGTGTATGGAGTTAGCAAGTCATTGTGGAAAGAGCAGCCAGTGTGCGCTCTGAAATGAGCTCTGCCGCTCATGCTGTGGTCTCGGGCATCCTTTCCTGCCTCCTGCCCCGCACTTTGTTCACTTGTAAAATCGGACTAGTAAGTGCATAGCATTTGGGTTAAAAGAGATCAATGGAGGGGAGTGTGCCTTAGCCTGGGCCCTAGGCCACTGGAGGTCTCCAATCCCTCCACTGCTTCCTTTTCCTCCCGTGTGTCCAAGTGCAGTTGTGCTTGGGAAGGCAGGGTGGTGGCAAGAATTCTCAAACATAATGCTCACCTCACCTCTAGGATGCCAAGATATCGGCATGCTTGCCCGTGTCACTACCGCAGACTGCATCAGCATTATTCTGTGTGGATTCCTCCTGGTCGGTGTCGGTTATCTCCTTAGGAGAAATTCTTACAAAAGGCATGTCTCCTGGGTCAAGGGTGTGAAAAAATTTAAAGCTTCTGTTGATGTACGCTCTGTAAAAAAGCAGCTTGCTATATTCGTTCAGAGCATGGATTCTGGCTGCACACAAACCTTTGTTGCTTATTAGCCGTGTCATTTGGGCCAGGGTGACGGTTGGATAAGGATTAAATATTAACTTTGTTAATATTTGTTCATTAGAACAAGTGCTTAATTAAAATTGTGTTTAATTAAAAAAATAAAACCACCTTAATGCCCTCCAAAAGGTCTGTGACAGTCCCTTTAGCATCAGCTCTTGGAGCATGGCTGAGATGGCTAATTAATAGCAGGACAGTGGCCTTAATGCTGTTAGGCCATGAGTCACCATTACCCCCTGCTACTCTTCGCTGCCCCGTTATTTAGATTTGGGGCCTTTTGTCTTCTAAGCAGTTGGCACAGTATGTACCTGTCACAGTCTCACTGTTTTTCTGTTTCTTGGGAGAACAAATGGACCCCAGACAAAACCAATCCAAGTGCCTCTCCAGACACCCCTGGCTTCTTCACTGGGGGTGCTGGCCCAGCCCGTGTAGGAATGGAGATCCTCCCACACTGCCTGGCCTTGTCTGTGTCTCGTCTCTTGGCTAGCAAGTCTGCGTGGCTTTGACATGTTTCTGGATGGCAGGTGCTCCATCCACACTGAAATGCCCAGGTAAGGAGGCCTCTTGCTCGGCATGGCCAGAGCCCACGTGGGCTGACCACCACCAGGGGCTCGCCTTGGCCCCTCGGATTCTTAACATTGGCCAAATGTCACGTTTTTAAACAGGGAGAGGCTTTGGGTGGGAAAAGAAAGAGTGGAGGAGGTTGTATGGTTTGTGCATTGTATTACTTGGAGAAAGACAATGGTTTCTTCATGGGTGTGTTTCTTCATGTAAAACAAGATGACTTTTCAGGCGGGACATTTCTTCCTTGCGTGGGACTCTCCAGAGAATGCAGCCAGTCTGGCATCCCCACCCACTAAATGCCAGTCATATTCCCAGCCGTTGGATAATCCAGACACCCCCGCACATTTTCAGCCCCCTTCAGGAGGGAACTGCTGATCAGCTTCATATATAGCTTCACCGGGCAACGTCATGGAAACAGGGAAAGTTGCTCTTGGGAACTTGCTGAAGTGAATTTTGTTCCCCTGCCCTATTCTGCTCTGGCCCAAGCCCCAGTGGGCAGAAGAAGGGGCTCGAGGAAAGATTTCACCTATCAAGGGGGCAGCAGAGGGGGCTCGGCCCTCAGGAATGGGGTTCACGCATATTTGCGAGACTGCGGACGGGGGCCCTGAGACAGTGAGCGAACTGCCTTCCTGCCTGGCCCTGACATATGTCCTGCCATGTGGCAGCCACAGAGAGGTCTCCATCCCTGGGAGTGAGGGGTCTGTTGTGACAGAGCTAGATGACACATGGGGGCTCTCTAGGCAGGCCAGTGGCTAACAGGCTCTTCAACAGGCCAGGACAGAGCAGGGTCCTGACTCCAGCCCCATGGACCACTTGTGTTGTTCAGGGTGATCCTGCTGTGGCCACCCCCAGATCTGCCTTGCAGTTAACTAAGGAGTTTACAGTGTGCACCATGGAGTCTTTTCTCCAGATGCCATATTGAACCATTCCTTGTCACATCCAGTGACCCCCTAAGGCAGGTTCTGGTGTCATAAGTACAACTCTGTCCGTTTTCTCCCTTTCCAGTGATAGTTGGCTGTCTCGAGGTATAACTTTCTAGGCCAGCTTTTAATCTGGCTTGGGATCCGCAAAGACTAGACCTCCCCAGATTTCTCTCGGACCGCACAGTGCTCACCAACAGAAGCTCTCTCCAGGTGCAATTTAAGCCTGTTTCCTCAAGCATGTGCCTTAGCCTCAGCAAGTGGGTATCTTCTTCCACTGGGTGTTTGTTGAGGGTTCAGCCCTCAGGCCAGAGCTGGGCCTACCAGTAGATGCCCTGGAGGACTGACTGGGATGGGAAGAGACCAGGCTAGGACCCTCTCTGGTAGCAGATCCCCAGTAAGTAGTGTCCCTTGGTTTCTTCCATTAGGGGCCCCTGTGACTGACTTGGTGGAAGCTGGTTTGTCTCCCCAGAAAAGTTAATGCAGAACTTTTGAAGAGTTCATGGGCAGGCCCAGCTGTGCAGCTTTCAACTCCAGGGGCGCTGCTCATACAGATGCAGTGCGAAGGGCACTCCCTCACGTGTCCTGCTCCGGAGCCCATTCACCAGTCATTCCAAGGCCCCACGCTGGGCATCCACAGATCCTTGGTGAAAATCCCTGAGGCCTGTCTTTCCGCCCTGGGCACGGGTCCCTGGGCTGGGATGCAGCCAGGGTAGGGGTCCCCACTTCTCGCCTTAGGCCGAACGGCCTCCACACTTCTGCTTCCTTTCTATCCGCCTTGCTTTACTGAAAACTCCTCCAGCGACCCTGGTCGCTCTCCCCTCGCTTTCCCTCACCACCAAACACGCTGGTGCTGATCATTTTGCATTGCTGAGAATGTAGGACTTACTTTGATGCTTTAGTAGTTTTCCTCCCTGTTGCTTGGATGCTGCCAGTATCTGGACAGGTGGAGTGCAGGCCAGGGCCCCTAACACGGCCGTGCGGCTGTATCCGTGCGGGTGAGCTCCCCTGGGTCAGGCGGTGCACACAAGGGGGTGGAGATGTTCTCAGTGCCCCTGGTGGGGTGGCTGTTCTCAAGGCAAGTTCTTTCTAACCTCAGTGTCTGAGCCCTGGAGACTGATGTGCGCCTTGACACCACTCCATTCTCACCTGACAGGCATTCCCACTTACAGATGACTTTGTGCTCCCATGTCGGCCCTCTGAAATCAGGCCACATTTTTGCAAAGTAACAATGCTTAGAAGGCACTGTGGTTTGGTTGGGAAAATTCCATCACCTTGAGTCACAAGAAGCCTTGTGGCCGAGGAAACGGCTTTCCAGAGCATTCGGGAGATGGGCAGAGGCAGCCTGGGCCCAGGAGAGGTATAAGGAGCCGCTGGACCCTGTAGGACCAAACATCTGTTCATCTCCACCAGTGCCTCACTGGTGACCTTGAACCTAATCCTGTGGCCTCTCAAGTTGTGCCATCTCCACCTGTGCAGAAGACCTAATAAAGCTAAGAACACCTTTTTTTTTTTTTATGTTTATTTTGAGAGAGAGCGAGCGAGCGAGCAGAGGAGGGGCAGAGAGACAAAAGGAGAATCTGAGGCAGGCTCCAGGCTCAGAGCTGTCAGCACAGAGCCAGACTTGAGGCTCTACCCCACGAACCATGAAATCATGACCTGAGCCAAAGTCAGCACTTAACCGACTGAGCCACCCAGGCGCCCCTCTAAGAACACTTCTAATCCCATCGTGTTTTCAGGAGAACGTGTTCAAGAGGGACTCACTTATGCTACTGCTGTGTGTGGTCACCATGTGACTTGCCGCTCGGCAACGCAGCAGGGACTCACCGCGGCCCCGTTGGCCCCATGCAGAGGAGCCTGTGTCCTCTGGCCTTTCCCTGCCCCACTCCTGGCAGTTCTGCCGGGGGCACTAGTAATTGGAGTGTGGAAGGAACGCCGGGCTGGAGGGCTGGATCTGGTTTCGGCCTCATCTCATCAGGCGCCAGCTGGGGACCAAGACGACCAAGACTGTCCTTCCCACTCCCTGCCTGGAAAGCGTGAGACAGTTGCAAGACCGCAGACAGCAGCCACCCTGGCATGCCCCGCTCCTCACGCCGCTAGGCTCTGCACCAAGGCTGGGAGGGGAGCCTGCAGATCCAAATGAAGGGCAAAGCCTTAATGTTAGGGATGGCCCTTGGGACTAAGTTGGGACAGTGGAGGGGGAGGCTGTGGTTGGCATGGGCACTGGACAGGCTTCTGGAAAATCAGTTTCTTAGGTGGTGTTACAAGGAAATTTGCGATTGTATCCATATTGTTTTACAATATATATTTTTTTCTAAGACTTTATTTTTAAGTAATCCTACACTGAACATGGGCATCGAACTCACAACCCTGAGATCAAGATTTGCATCCTCTACCAATTGAGCCAGTCAGGCACCCCTACAATAAAGATGTTTTTAAAATACCTTTTTCCCTTTCTCATTCTCTTTACCACATAAATACCCCTCTGGGTCAGAGCCAGGCAAAGCCTCACACAGGAGGGACATGTCACAGGCACTGACCTCAGGCTGATGTTGGAGGATCTGGAGAGGAGGGCGGATCCTGGGTGGCTGTTTGCATGGACCGTGAGCCTTGTAGAGGCTGAGACACAGCAGCCGTGAAAGGAGATGGGCAGATCATCTCTCACAGTGAAACTATGCTCATCCGGCTGGGTGACGCCATGTGGAGGGGAGGGCAGCCCCACCTGCGTTGGCAGCGGGCTCCTGAATAGCTCAGAAGAGGGCTGACCTTTCCCAGCTTGAGACCCAGATCCAGTAGCTCCATAGGACTTTCCAGCACCACACGGTACTGTCTCAAAAGAAAAACCATGCCTTCACCTGTGAAGTGGCTGTGCACTGAAGTGGCCCGGAGGACCTAGCCAACAGGGAGGAAAAGCCCTGAACTGGTGACCCAGCACTAGAAGTGCGGGTCCCCCTTGAGGCCTCTCGGGCTCTGAGGGGCTTGCCTTGCATGGGGTGAAGACGTCAAATGCTTATCAGCAACATTAGGCGAAGGATGTACAGCTTCTCAAGTAGCCTGGCCAGACGTTAGAAACATCCAATGCATGACTTTAACCTTCCTGGGGCGATTCCCTGGCGGTAGCCCCTGTCGGGAGTCCACCTCTTCCCTGACCTTGTCAGATAAGCAGCTTAGGTTTTCTTCCAGTTGAGGCTGGGTGCCAACCCCTGCTCCCTTCAGGGGCGAAAGCCCTCTGTGACACTCCCCCACCTCCCGGCCCTGGGACTACTCCCCCCATCACATCTTCAACTGCTGTCCCCCCAGGGTGGGGCTGGCACACCGGACCTTGGAATTCAAACATGCTTGACCTCTGCTTTTCAAGAGTCTTGGGGCCTGACACATTAGTTTTCTTCTGTGGGATGAATTTGCTCAGTGTTAAGTTGCTTATTAGAAACAGGTCTACACCCACCTCAAGAGTGTAGTAGGGGGACTTGGATCAGGAAGGCCTTGCCTTACATCCCAACACAATCCTCCTTTCTGCTCTGATTTTCCCTACGACATGGTAGAGATTTCCCCTGCTCTTCGTTTCTGCTTGGTCTTCCCTGGGGCACTGGACTGTGGACAACCACAGGACCCAAACCCAACATCCATCTGCCCCACCAGCTGGCAAGAGGTAGTCCTGGTGAGCAAACAAAGCCTTCTGCAGGTTCAGAAACTGTATCCTGTCCCCCAGAATGGTTTCCAACCACAGGACCCAAGACTGTTCCATGGTACAGGAATCTTCAGTACATCTGGGAAGGATGCTGTATTTGCAGACACAGTATTAAATCCAGTGTTATGGGCTTTTCGGGCATTATTTACAACACTAGGGAATTTTCTTGAAAGGGCCCATCTCAGAGCCAAGGCAGGCAGGGTAACTTCACGTCACAGCATCAAGCCTGCTGAGGAAGGACACAGCCTCACGCTGTACCAGCTAATCATATGGCTGAAACTGACATTCACTCTCCTGAGACTTGACTTATATCAAGTCACTCCCACTCACTATGTCCTTTCCAGGAAAAGGGAATAAAACAACCAGTTAATATATCTTCATATTCAGATATTAATTTAATAATAAGAGACCAAGGGTGGACAGTCACCCATAGCAAAGGTCCTTAACTGTCTGTCACATGGCTCGGGGAGGGGGCGGGGAAGGTTCAGCTGATTGCTTCTACTGGGCTTTTTTCCATGTTCTTTTCTCTTAACCTGAAAGTGACCAAAAGGACTCAGCTTTCTATACACAGTTAGGAGGGAATACCAACCTTTATTTACACTTGGGTTCAAGTTCAGAGCCGTCTTAAACAGTATAGCAAAGCGGGAAGAAGCACAGATCCCGGGACCAAGTTCAGATTCCAAAAGAGGCATATTAACTGTGACAACAAGCAAAGGTTATCTTCAGTTTCTGCGGTCAAGTGGAGAACGCATCACCCCAGCTGCCCGCAGCTTACAGCTGCCTCCACCCCAGTCCTTGCCCTGGGTGCTCAGCCAAGTGCGGGCTCCGGCAGACTTACTCTGCTGCGCAAGGCAGGACTTGGCAAGTTACTGAAAACCGAGGTAGCCCCCAACCCCAAGCATTCGCCAAAGGCAAGAAATAGGAACTCAAACTGGTGTATGGGCTAGGTGAGAAAAACTGCACGCAGTGTTCAATAAATACTATTTACAAGTCTTGCCAGGCCAAGGACAGAGGGCATCTGTACATGGGCACTGAATTCAGATATTAGTTTTGAGGGAGAAAAGGATATGGTGGTAAGGTGTAACACTCTTTTGCCTGGACCCCCTTTCACTTGATTGATGGATTAAATAATATGATTTTAAAAATCATATGCTTAATACTCATCCTAAAAACCACCCAAACACTAAATATACACATTTATACTAAGCGTGCGTGTATGTGTGTACATACACCCAGAAACCACGAGGTAGTTTAAATCACCATTAAAAAAAAAAACACTTTTCCTAATTCTCTGTCACAGAGTGGTAGCCAATGGCTGCACACCAGCTGCTTAAAATGATTGGTTAAATGAAAACCAGAACTCAAAAACTCCCAGGAGACTGTAACATTTACAAGTAAACAGAAGTACAGGTGTATTTTACTTCCTCAATCTCTGGAAACTAGGCTGTGACTGCATTAATGGTTGCTGTTACAGGTATCTGCTCTAATACTAAAGCACACAGCCTTCCCATTTATACACCTTATGAAGTAGTCTCAGTAGATTCTATTTTACATCTTTACTCTCCAGGTTTTTGTGGAGGATTCAATACAATCTCTATGTACATATTTTAAACATTATTTCTGAACTTCATTTGGAATTACTTAAATAAAAAAATAATCACCATTCTCCACCTTCTTGTGAAAGTGCCAGACTAAGCCCCCAACCGGAACTGCTGCCTTGAATCTGGAGAAATCCCTACCTCACAGCCCCCAGACCAAAAAAGTGTAACGTATTCACACTACACAGGAAAAAGCAACATCTATTGTTCTTAGAGTCCGACTCTCTTCCCCACAGCAAGAAAAGTCTCTTCATAGGTATGCCAATGCTGTTCTAGGTTGCTAGGGAAACAGGGCTCTCTCAGGCCAGAGCAGGAAAGTCCTCAGGGTCATCCGGGTTGGGAGCAATGTCTTGTGTCTAAAGAAGAAAAGAAAAGTTTTTAAACCAACATTCACTTTAGCCATTGCCACTTGGGCAGAGCCCTCTGAGAAACACGTGCCTGCTCTCACCCAGGCAGGTGCTGACAGTGGGTGCAGCCCAAACACTGTGGGGAAAGGCAGGGCCCCAGTGGGAAGAGACACAGAGAGGGGGACACGGAAGGGTCCCTTCTCAGACTCGCTCTTGTCCCCCCTGCAAAACGGCCGGCACTGACTGCCTCCCTCCCTTCCTCCCACAAATCCTGACCGAGTGACCCTTTTTGTATCTGGCACCTCTGTCATCCAATAAACATGACTTAGACTATTTACCATACGAAGATACAAGGTTGGTTAAAGGCAGTTCCTGCCTGCCCTGAGATTCCCTGGGGTTAGGGAAGAAGCCCTGAGAAAGTCATAGCCTGGTAACTTCAGCAACAGATGGCTTATGAATGGCCCACAGGAGGGGCACCTACTGCTATTTGGTGGCTGAGTGCATATCACGGTTAGGTAAGGTTTTCTAGAAGAGAAAGTTCTTCCAGAGATAAACCTCAGTGAATGGGCAAAGAGAATATGGATCCTGAAACAGTGCAACCTGACGGTGAAGGGGAGGGGCCCTGAGGGCAGGTCTGAGCTGGGAGAGAACAGTATGCTTGTGTCTGTTCATAAAACATTTATGAAGTGCCTACTATATCCTTAAATTGTGCTGGGCACTGGGGAAACCAATAATGAGCAAAAGTAGACATGGTTTGTGCCATCCACTGTAGAGACAACAGACACTGGTCAATAATCACACCGGTGAGAATACAATTACAAATGAAGACAATGCTTCAAAGAAAAAGAAAATTCTTTGCTCAAGGACTCTGACCTGATCTGGAAGGAAATGTGACCAAAGTTCTCTGAGGAAGCGAGGTCAGAGGATCTACTGTAGGTGAGCAAGCAAATGGGTAGAAGGACTACCAGGTGCAAATGCCCCGTGGGGTCAGAAACATGCTTGTGTGAAGAACTAGAGGTAGAGAAGGGCTGGCTGAGGAGCAGGGAAGAATGGTCTAAGGTGACAAGGTGAACCCGGGGAGGTCACGGAGGCCCTGAATCCTTAGGAAGGGTCCTGTCTCCCCTGAAAGCACCATCGGATCACAGTTAGGAACCGTCAGGTGATCTGATAGGATCCCAAGCCTGGGCATCTTGTCTAATGCAGATGAGTGAGTTTTCTAGTTCTGAGAGTGCATTCACGGCAGACAGTAGATCTCCTTGGTAACCAAGGAGGCCAGGGCCACCGAATGGTCTGTATCCAACTGTGTCCATGCTGCTGACCTCACTGTTCTGAACACTGGGATGCCAGACCCACTCTAGACACAGGAAAGGACAGTAGACCCTAACGGGCCTCCCAGTGGCATAGCCTGGGGCCCCCTCATCCTCTCACCTCCTGCAGAAAACTGTCCAGGGCACAGAGTACTCACACTCACCACCACTTCTGCTCTGGGTCCGTAGTTCTCTGCCCTTCTGATCCTTCCCCGGCCTCCCCGTGTGCCACCTCTGGCTCCACGCCCAGGACGAGGGAGGTTACCGAAATTAATCTCCAGCTGGGATGTGATGTCATTGGCTGCTTTCCGGAAAACGTGGGCATCATCTTCATAGTCATCCTTTACCATCTGAAACACAGTTACAGCATATATCTCTCTCTCACCCTCTCACACACACACACGTCTCCATGGACACTCACTCGCTTGGTGTCCAAGCGCTATGCCGCCAGGGAGCCGATATGGCATTACGGCGGGACAGTGGCTCTCCCTGACGTGCTGTCGACACTGGGCTACAGGGCAAGGCAGAGGTAGGGACCCCGCAGCTCTGGGGGTTCTGCACGTTTCCCAGCCACATGTTCTCATACTCACCGTCTTAATCCAAGCATCTCTCAACTTACTATTAACTCAAGTGACACCCAAGTTTCTGCCAGTTTGGCAGGTTAAGATGTAAGATTGGACATGCCTAACAGCAATCTATATATATATGTATATATATATTTAAACATTTTTTTAATGTTTTATTTATTTCTGAGAGAGACAGTGTGAGCAGGGGAGGGTCAGAGAGAGAGGGAGACACAGAATCTGAAACAGGCTCCAGGCTCTGAGCTAGCTGTCAGCACAGAGCCCCATGTGGGTCTCGAACCCACGAGCTGCAAGATCATGACCTGAGCTGAAGTCTGAAGCTTAACTGACTGAGCCACTCAGGTGCCCCTCTATATGTATTTTTTATATCTAAATGTATTTTGCTGAGATTAAAACATTTTAATTTCTGCCTTTTATTTGTTCACAAATGCTACTTTGATAAATAAGGAAATATCACCTTCCTAGAATAGAACTTGATGGAAAAACTCACTTCAATGTGGGTGCTGACTGTACAAATACCATATGTTAAAAACTGCATGATTTACAATAAACAATTCTGACTCAAAATCTAGGAAAATAGTAAAACAACAGAATATGGTTATCTGACAATTCCTGCAGAAAGAATTCAGGCTGCTTTTTAAGAACTATTTTGGCCAAAATGCTTTAAGAAATTACATTTTATTATATAAGAGGTCAAATAAGTTCTGTTTCTTGTTAAAAGAAGACTATATTAAATAAATCTTGTTCCAAATTTGATTTGGCTTCAATTCCTAATAATAGATTAAAAAAACCCTCTCACTTTTGAGTAAAACATAAATCTACATAAAATCTGCCAATGATCTTGGATGAGAATCTCTTAAGTGCTACAATGCTAAACATTCCTACCACAACTTGTCCAGGAAATGGAATCAAGTTTCCCTGAACATATCAACTCCTTTAGGCCATCTGTTCATTACAGGGTTCATGTTTAACATTTGTGTTGTCTTCAAAGCTGCATTAAAGTAAAGCAGAGGCTTAAAAAGCTAAAAAGGTGAAGGAAAGAATGATTCAGGAGCACTGACACTCTGGTAAAAAGACAGACACAAAAAACCAGTAAGAGGCCAAGTAATAGCCTACCACCTGCTTCAGAAAACTGCAGGCTCTCAGTGTGTGGAGTGGGGGCAGCCGTGCAGGGGTGGGGAGGAGGGCCATGCAGGAGTTGGGGCTGCAGTGCCTGGGACAATACTGAATGTGCTTTCTTGAAAGGATCCGGCTCATTCACAGGCTGCCAATGGTCTGAACTTTGCAAACACGAGGCATTACTCCAGTGTTTTGTCTCTTAGGATGCCCAGAACAAAGTAAATCAGTGACCCTAAGATTTGGCTTTTGTTGCTTTCAGAACAATTCCTGGCTAAAACCTTCAATGCTGTAACCTTAACAAGAGACCAAAGACATGTGCTTCGTGGAGACCAAGCTGGATGACTCAGCTAACCCAGTTGCTTCAGATATTCCAGGAGACCTCTCTCTGGAGCCAGGGAGGATGAATCTGGTGTGGATGCAGGAAAAACAGCTGCTATTTTTACCTAACATGTCAGCTGCACATTTCACATCCTGACAGCACATTTGTTTTAGGAAAAGCTTTATTTACAATGGCCCAGAACAAAAAAGAACATAAGTGAATAGGAAAAGAGCCAACCGAGTTAGCTGATGGACTTGAAGGAATACCTCACAGAGACTTCCAAGAGAAGAAGGCTCTTGCCTCCAGGCTGCCTGTGTATAACAGCTAGTGGAGTGGCTCCAAACGTCTTACTTAGTAAGGCCTGGAAGAGACTGGAGGCGGTAAGGCATCCTGTATTATAAATGACCCTCTGAGGAAAGTATTCATTCAAAGAACACAACTAATCAAAGTGTCAACAGAAATACAGACAAAGCAACACGGTGTCAAACGGAAAGTCAGTGTATAATCTCCAGCAGGAAGGAAGAGTGTAGCCACCACCATCATTGACACAGAGACGTGTATCAAGATAAAGAGCTGTGACTGAATGACATGAATCCTAAAGTTTAAAACAAGAATGTTCAGGGCACCCCTAAGTTCAGTAACTTAAACAGAATGCGATTACATGACTCACTGACCATCTGCATCAATATATGCTGGGAGATGTTTTCAAAGCCAAGGCTTCCGGAAAAGGGCTGAACACAGAGCATGAAAAGCAAGGCCCTCACAGGAGGGAGGAACAGTGTGAGCAATCCTGGCTGCGGCAGCAGGGTGTGACCAGGCGGCCACACTGTCTCAGGGGCTCCTCCCGGGTGCCAGCACTTATGAGGCGGGGACAGAACTGCTGCAGTGACACAGCACAGAACCCCAACAGGTTTCAAATGATCGATAAAATGCTCTTACTAAGAACATGAGCTGAGAATAATCTAATCATGAAATCCCTTGAAACAGCACTGTTCGTGAGATACTACCTCTCTTGAGACAAAAATGAAATGCAATTAACGTACAGTATTTGTGCAGTAAAAGCACAGCTGTGGGGTGAGCAGAAGATGCACTGTCACTGAAACTGCTTTGTATGAAGTGTCGATAGGCCAAGTTTCAACTATTTTTATGAACAATATAGACACAGATAAAATTAGGCACACATCATATCTGATTACTTAGGTAGAAACTAGAATGCCAACTACGAATGTCCCATTTTCACACTAGAAGTGGAAAGGGTCCACCTGGTTTCCAGTAAGGTAACAACGAAGATTACCTCTAGATAAGAAAGTCATGCTTACATCATCTCTATATTTGGACTTGTGTATCACCACTGCTTTGGAAGGGACAGTAGACTCAGGTTTCCGGATGTTAAACTCAGGCTTTGGTCTTGTCTGTTCTTGAAGATTTTTCCATTCATCCAGGGTCATCTCTTGAACTTGAGTTTCCTCTTCTAACTCCAACTCAGGAACTCTATGAAAAAGCAGAAGTTTGTGATGTGTCTAAAATGTCTACTTTCGCAAAGAAAAAGTTATCACTATTAGTTTAGCATACTATCATGGAACTGTATCTCATATTTACATAAGGTAAGAAAATCCCTGAACCACAAGCTTCCATATTTTAATCATTTTATGCTGTCACTGCCAACTGAAGATACTTCCTGTGTGTTTTCTTTTTTCTTTTTTAAAGTAATCTCTATGCCCAATGTGGGGCTCGAACTCACAAGGCCCAAATCAGGAGTCACACCCTCCAACTGAGTCGGCCAGCTGCCCCACTTTCTGTTTTCAAAGCGGTCTTTGAAAAATGGGAACTGCACCAATCCTATTAGCATTACACTTGACCGCCAGGCATTCACTTCCTAGATGGCATTACACACAAAGTGAGATAATTACAGAAGAAAATGGAGAAGCTACTGTAACAAAACAAACATAGGCAACCATGAACGGAGTTATAAAACATGGGTTACAAATACATACTTGTGTAAATATGCTCTTTAAATTCATGAGATTTCAAAAGAATAGAGAAGATATATAGGCCAATGGAATAGAATTCAGAGCCCAGAAAGATATCCTCACATTTACAATCAACTGATTTTTTTTCAAGTTGGTGCCAAAAACAATTCAAAGGAGAGAGAATGGTCTTTTCAACAAATGCTGCTGGGAAAACAGGATGTCCACGTGCAAAAGAAGGAAGTTGGACCCCTACCTCACACCATAAATATAAGAGTTAGAAATGTAAACCCCTCAGAAGATGACACAGGCATAAACCTTCATGACCTTAGATTAGGCAGTGGTTTCTTACATGTGACACTAAAAGTGTAAGCAACAAAAGAAAAATGGGTGATTGGGTGGACCAGTCAGTTAAGCGTCTGACTAAGATCTTGGCTCAGGTCATGATCTCACAGTTCATGAGTCTGCCTGCATGGCGCTCTGCACTAATGTCGTGGAGTCTGCTTGGGATTCTGTCTCTCCTTCTCTCTGCCCCTCCCCTCTTGTGTAAGCATACGCTTTCTCTCTCTCTCTCAAAATAAATAAACTTAAAAGAAAAAGGAGATAAACTAGACATCACCAAAACTTCTGAAAACTTCTGTGCTGCAAAAGTTTTACTTTCTTGGTACCACCAAGAAAGTAAAAAGCCCATCCACAGAATGGGAGAAAATATTTGCAAATCATATATCTGATAAGGGACTTATATCTTGCATACAAAAAGGCCTCTTACAACTCAATGAAAAGAAATAACTCAACTGAATAACAGGCAAGGCTCTGAATAGACATTTTCCCAAACATGATATACAAATAGCCACTAAGATGTTCAATATCATTAGCCATCAGGGAAATGGAAAGGAAAACCACAATGACTTATACCCATCCATACTCAGTAGGATGATTAGAATAAAAATACACTGAACAAGTGCTGGGGAGGATGTGGAAAGACTGGAATCTCATACATTGCTGGGGGTGGGGGGATATGAAATGGTGTGGCCACTCTCGAAACAGTCTGGCAAATCCTCAAAAATGTAAACACAAGTTGCCATCTGACCTGGCAATACCACTCCAAGGTGCATATCCAGGAAAAGCAACATCATGTGTCTGTGTGAAAACACCATGGCACTGCCACAAATGGCAGTTCAGTAACGCTGTTTATTTTATTTTTTAAGTTTATTTATTTTGAGAGAGAGACAGGGAGGGAGAGACAGAGAGAGAGAGAGCGCGCGAGCGAGCCAGTGGGGGAGGGGCAGAGATCGAGGGGGACAGAAGATCCGAAGCAGGCTCCGCGCTGACAGCAGTGAGCCCCAATGCGGGGCTCCAACTCATGAACTATGAGATCATGACCTGAGCCAAAGTCAGATGCTCAATCAACTGAGCCACCCAGGTGCCCCCAATAATGCTGTTTATAGCAGCATTGTTCACAATAGAGAAAGAATGGAAACAGCTTGACTGGCCATCAACTGATGAGTGGATAAAATATGGTATCTTTAAAATTATGAAATACTATTTGGCTGTAAGACGAAATGAAATACTGAGACATGTTACAATATGGATAAACCTTGAAAACATTATGCCAAATGAAATAAATCAGGCACAAAGCTTATGTACGATTCCATTTATATGAAATACCCAGAAAAGGCCAATTCATGGAGACAAACAGCAGATTAGTGGTGGCCAGGGGCTGGGGGCAGGGTGGCCAGGGAATGACCGCTAAATGGGTACAGAGTGATGAAAGTGTTCTGGAACTGGATAATGGCAATGGTTGCATAACACTGTAAATGCACTGTCACTTCACCGTACACTTCAAAATGATTAAAATTGTAAATTGTATGTTACATGTATTTTACCACCAAAAAAAGAGATAATATATTTTTATATATTATACAATATATACACAAATATAGTATATAAAAATGAAAGAAAGAAGCCAGACACAAAAGGACAAATATATGCCGCTTATATGAGGTGCCTACAACGGGCAAATTCACAGAGACAAGAACAGAGGTTACCAGAAGTTAAAGGGAGGGAGAAATGGGATTTATTGTTTCATGGATACAGAGTTTCTGTCTGTGATGATGAAAATGCTCAGGACACGGATGGTGGTAATGGCTGCACACAATGTGAATGTAATTAATGCCAATAAACTACACACTTGAAAAAGCTTAAAATGGCGATTTTTACGTTATATGTATTATGTAATATACCCTAAACCAGTGAATAGTGCAGTTTAAATGGCTGAATTTTACAGTATGGGAATTATAGTTCAATAAAGTTTATAAGAAAAAATAATTAGGTGGTGAGTGGGAAGGGAATCAAATCTAGAATACCTTCACAGAAGGGCTAATGTAACCTGTCCTACGTTAGAGGTTAATGATATGAAAACTATTAGTGAAATCAGGAGAGAAACTTAATCACAGACCATTCAAAACAGGGATACTTGTAAAGTGACTTTAAAATATCAAGCTAGTGGGGTGCCCAGGTGCCTTAGTTGGTTAAGCATCCGACTCTTTTTTTAAGTTGTTTTTCCTTTATTTTTGTATTTATTTGGAGAGAGAAAGTGAGCAAGTATGAGTGGGGAGGGGCAGAGAGAGAGGGGGAGACAGAACCCCAAGCAAGCTCTGTAATGTCAGTGTGGGGCCCAATGTGGGGCTCAATCCCACAAACCATGAGATCATGACCTGAGTCAAAATCAAGAGCTGGATGCCTAACCAGCTGAGCCACCCAGGCGCCCCAAGCAGGGGACAGAGAACTTTGTTCAACTACTCTACAACACTGCTGGTGTTGGAATTAACTTGCACCAGTTCGAACTGGCTCACAGCCAGTTGTTCAATTTTTAGGAATTTTGTGAGCTGGCTGTTAAATTCATTTATTATTAAAAATTGAATTATATAAATTATAATTAGCTATATTAAGGGTAATAATCACAATTCATTATTCTCTAATTATTCCACTATACTTTACCCTTATCCATGCTCTTGGGGTTAATTATACTTAATGTATGTGTATAGTGGAAATGTTACATAATAGTACACTATTGTTTATCTCTTCCCAACTCTGCATTCAGTATGACACAGTGATAGTTTTAAATCAGCCATGGTGGAAAATTTACACCACAAAAACCAGCCAAGTGCAACAGATCCAGGCTTTTTCATCCTAGAGAGCCAGATGTTGAGTATTTACCAGCATACCACTGCCCACAGGGAGGCACTGAGTAAAATTCTGACTCTGGGAAACATTTTGTGGACATATGACCCAGTTTCTTAGACAAATAAATTACAAGGGAAAGAAAAAAAACACATAGATTAAGAGCAGCTTAAGAATAATCAAGATAGTGTAATATTAGTGTAATATAATCAGACCAATGGAACAGAACATAAAGTACAGAAATAGGCCTACACATAAATGGGCAACTGATTTTTAACCATGGTGTTTCATGTGCTGGAATAATTGGATACACATATACCAAGAAGAAAAAAAGGGAACTTTGGTTCATACCTCACACTGTATACAAAAATCAACTCAAAATGGATCACAGACCTAAATACAAAAGCCAAATTATTAAACTTATAGAAGAAAATCTTTGTGGTACTATATTGGGCAAAGATTTCTTAGATTTGAGGCCAAAAGCAAGATCAATAAAAGAAAAATAAACTGATAAAGTGGATTTTATCAAAATTAAAAACCTATACTCTTCAAAAGACACTGTCAAGAGAAAGAAAAGAGAGGCTACAGAATGGAAGAAAATATTGGAAAATCATGTATCTGATAGAGGGCTTGCAAGAACTCTCAAAACAAAGTAATAAGAAAATAGTTATAAAATGGGCAATTTCAACACTCTTTATTAGAAGATATACAGATGGCAGATAATCTGTGAAAAGGTGCTTAATAACGTCATTAGTCAACAGGGAAATGTAAATTAAAACCACAGTGAGATATGAATCTATCATAATGGCTAAAAATGACAAAAACTGGAACAACCACTTCAGAAAAGAGTTTGGCAGTTTCTTAAAAAGTTATATATACACCTGCCATATAGTCCAACCATTCCACTCCTAGGCATTACATGGGAGACATGGAAATGTACATGCCACAAATACTACCCAAAAATGTTCACAGCAATTTTATCTGTAATACCAAGAACTGGAAACAACCCAAATGACTATCATGTAGACAGATAAAGAAACTGCAGTCTATCTGTACAGTGGAATACTGTTCAATAAAAGCAAACTATTGATACATGCAGCAACATGGATGCATCTCAAAAGAAGTACACTCGAGTGAAAGAACACAGACAAAAAAAGAATACATGTGTGATTCCATTTATATAAAATTGTAGCAACTGCAAACTAATGTTTAGTGAGAAAAAATAGATCACTGGCTGCCTAGGGGAAAGGGGCAGGAAGGAAGGATTACAAAAGGAATAAAGGAAACTGGGGTTGATGGATACACTCATTATTTTGATTGTGGTAATGGTTTTATAAGTGT